CACCCTCACATTCAGACAAACAATTAAAAGTGACTCGTGGCTCCCGTTCTGCTTCCCGAAGTTCTACGTTAGGTTCTAGATCAAATTCTAGTTGTGAATCTGACAGCTCTAGGTCTTGTTCTCGTTCACACTCCCAAACAAGCCCCAAAAAACGACGTCGACGAACCCCTCGTAGTCCTCCACCTCATCTTGTTGAGAAGTACGTGCTATTTTTGCTTCATATTGGTTTATTGCTCATAAATTCCAAAGTTTTAAGACTATTCTAATTTGTTTTGCTCGATGTATAAATTCGCGTGGTGAATTGCGGTCCTATTACCATATAGCAATCGTTCAGACAACACGCTACATTAAAGGCTCACAATCTTTAGTGTCCTGATGCTAACAGTTAACAAGCGTTGTTTTATTGTCTGGTGTGATTAATGTTAATTTTACATAAATGTTTATTTAGGTGGAAAATGCGTCGTGAAATGCTAAACCAGAAGCGCCGCGTCGTACCACCGTCTGTAGCAGCTTATGCGCCGTCTGGATCATCGGAAGATCGTCTTCGTGGCATTGAAAGACGTCATTTATCGGGAAGAAGTACCCACATACATTCTCGATCACCATCACGTTCCATCCCAAACCGTCGACGAAGTCGATCCTCAAGTTCACGCTCTAAATCAGGTTCATACACACATAGCCGTACGAAGTTAAATGTTAGACGTGGTTCTCCTGAAGCAGAAAGTCTTCGCAGTCGAAGAAGAAGTCCAAGTCGCGACAGAAAGACATCGCGTTCAAGATCACATAGCCGCTCGCCTCCAAAAAGTTTTGGGTTGAAGCACAGAGGTACTTCACCAAGTAAACCTATCATAGTAATAACTAAGAAAAGTCAGACTACACAGTAAGTTTTATTTTCCCTATCAGTTTCGAAAGTGTTCCATAATTATGTAATTTTACCTTGAAGATTTTAAGAAAAGTCGACGTCAATAATGTGAAATTGTGTCGACCAGTGCTACCAGATTGGTAAAATCCAAGCTGATTCAGAACTCAGTTATTATACTTTTAATGAAGTTATCATGACAAATGCATTAGAAAAGTTTAGGAGACTACAAACTCAATGTTAACTTAGATGGTGCAGCTCTTCATAGCGTACTAGCATCGTCGGCTATTTCATATTCGCTCATGGTCTCAGTCTCTCTACCTTGCAAGTGACTTAAGTATACTTATTCTAAGACCTCACATCATTGACTTTCAGTGGTTCGGACGTTTTGCCATTATAAAGACCCAACTATGCTTTAAAATTTCAGCAATTGCAATATACTCTCATCTAAATAATTCTCAATGTAATTCTTCTAAAGATCATTGCGCTGACCAGAATTTCTGAAAAACGGACCAGCTATTTAATTGACTGCCTGGAAATTGTTTATTATTCAAGTAGACAAACTTTTATTTCATTGCCTTGTAAAGCGTAAATTCTATTTTGGGGTAAAGCAACGTTCAAAAGATCACTCAAGCAAGAATTCGAAATTCTCAGCCGAGTACCACGGATGAAATGTTTACAAAACTATTAGTCCTTTAATTCTTGGTCTTACTCTCTTTCTATTTCTTAGTAGTCAAGACTTTCATAGGTGCATATTTGTCAGTAAACTGACTCCACATTGATTAGTGCAATAGAATAGTAAACTAAACTACATGTCCTGCAAGGATTACAAATGATGACTGAATCCATCTATTTCTAGCGGACTCAAACGAACCATCATAATTTTTAAGAGAATACAAAAGCACTAATTCTCGCTGCTTCAAACAGTATTAAAGTTAAATAGTGCGTTATTTTATATTAGATAGTCTGTTACATACATACACTCATTTGAAGCGTAAAACGTAGTCACAGTTGTAACAAAACTTTTAGTCCACTTTACTGCAAAATGTAATACCATAAAATGATAAAAGCTACAAATATATTACGCTTTTCCTATTCATTTATGTTTTTAGCATGTTTTCGATCTGACTCTTGTTTCTATTACAGCACCAAAGTTTTTATGGTAAAGTATGTAAATAGTTGCATTCAAATAAACGTTTGCCACTATATCAAAAGATTATATATATATAAATGATAGCGCGTTTCTTCCGTTTTTTTTCCCACAGAAAACCCACGAAAATTGTTACCGAAGATCCATCCACTGAAGTAAGCTACATTTCCGGGGATTTCTCTTAAAAAGTGTAATTGTCTTTTACTGCAGAGTAATTGTTAAACGTTGGAAATGATTTTAAATCGACACATTTTTAGGGAAAATTGTCTCATTGAATTATGACAACCTATCCAGACTTTCTCTGCAAAATATTTCCTTTCATAGGACTCATGCTTCTGTGAATCTTATTTGGGTTCAGAATTTCTGAATTTGTAAGTTGCACTTTCATCATCCATCTCTTAGTGGGATATATGGAGATATGTAAAAAAATTATCTCAGGATGGAACGTTATTAATCTGGGCTTTTATAAATAGTGTTATATGATTCCATGTACAATCAGTTTCAGCACAATTTATAATACCACCTGATTATACAGATATTGATTCCAGTGAAACTACGTCACTTCATGTGTATTAAATTTCTCAGGTACTCAACAAACATCCAAAATATTTATATTTTTTAAAGATTTAATTGAACAACTGAGCACAAGTTAACAGTTTTACTTATTTATATTTTCGTTCTTAAGAATGCTGTTACAACCAGTAAGTGGGAGAATTCTCCTCAAATCCTAGAGAAAAATACAAATCAACATCTAGGTCCATGGACTAACAAACATTGGGAAACAGGCGATAAGGTTGAACTTGATGAGTCTGTAAACAAAGACGAGAAAAAATTAGCCACTGCAAAAACCCAAGGTCCAAATAGTATTTCAATTCTACAGAGACTTCGTGTAATACAAGAGGATTCTTCTAAGAATGAAGTACATCTAAATAAAGATGAAAATTCTCCCGCTTCTGTCATTGATAATAAGGAAAAACTAGAAAACTCAGTTGCTGCTTCTAATGAAACTACGTCTATCCCAACCGTGCCAACTATGATCAAACCCCAAGTTCCTCCAATATCTAAAAATCAAGTATGTTTATGTTGCGTTCACTTATTCTGTATTAGTAATCGGTCGGCTGTTCAAATCCTATAAAAAGTTCAAGTGAAATGATTGACTTAGTTTCCTGTTAGATAACCGTATTTTCTAAATTGCATGTACAGAGATAGACATTATATTAGTGTTGAAACGTTAAAAAGAAATAAGTTATATTCTGCATATACTTAAAGCAGCACGTTAATTTCCATCCATTGTAAACCATACAAAAGCAGAACTTCATGTTCGGCTTTGAACCATATTTTTATTTGTAAGAGATTGTAGCATTATTCACCCGCTCAGACCAAAGTAGATGGCACGGAGTTCGAGCCTGGGAATCAACGGTTTAAACTGGTATTTCGCATATTAAAGTACCGCACTGTAACAAACACATGCCATATTTTTTGCAGCTACTGGGTTTTAATTTGTGTGATTGGGGAGAACTATCCATTTTTGGTTTGAAGTCTCACATAGTTCAAAATTGATAATATAGCTTTGATATTTATTTATTTGGAAACTTGATACAGATATCAGATAAGCAAGTTATCAAAATGCTCATCAACTTTGACCCATTACAGATAGACTGCATAGTGATCCACAATAATGGTTGGTGGTAACAATTATAATCTTTACTTTCGATAGGATAGTTATACTTTTCATATAACTAAAATCTTTAATTCATTCTCCGAAAAATATACTGTGCGTATGGACTTTCTGTCTTTTACTGAGAACTATTTATCGTTCATTAAAATTTTCAACAATCCAAGACTCAATACTGTTTATTTAGGGATTCTCAAAGTGATGCAAAGTTCTATATCGATAGAAAGATTTCTAGTAAATTGCACCATACGACTTTTTCCTAGGGCAATAAAGTTGAAAATCGACCGAGTTTGTCAAACTTCCCAATGTGGCAATTTTCATAAAGATGTGTAGACAAGCGTGCTTTGTTGTAAAGCACACGCTTCCTTGTCTTATAGGATGCTTTAAGTCCTTCAAGGAATTCTGTGAGATATGATAATGAAACATAATTTCTATTTATTTATTAATGTCATATGTAGATTGTTTTCAGGCGAATGGATCCAGGGTTCGCAATATTATTAACCGAAAAATTACTACAGTGCAATTTTTATCTTGAATCACACTTCAGATTGACTCGGTGTCATACAATATCGAGTATATTAAGAAAATAAATTACTGTTGGTCATATAGTGAGGTTCAGTTTCGTACAATGTTGCCACATAATAGTTCGACTTTTGTATATAAATAAGATTCATATTACTTTTGTGATTTCAGTGAACATATTGCATTAACTCTTTCCTGTATATTAGCCTAGTAAATGACAATTAAATTCCTAACTTCAACCCAATTGTGAATTATAAAACAAGTTTTTCCTTATTTTCAGGTCAAAAAACCAGCTGCAATCAGAGGAAGGTCTCATTCATCCAGTTCTAGTTCTGCTTCTTCATCTTCCTCATCTGGATCCTCTTCAAGAAGTTCCAGCAGACCTAAGCGTTCTCGTAAAAGATGTCGGTCCATAAGCTCATCAGCACGCAAAATGCAAAGGAGTGACTTTTCGGACTCCAGAAGCAGGGGTAGGGGTAGTCGTGGACGCTACTCTCCAGTTAGTCGTTCATATTATACAAGATCACGTTCTCGTTCATTTTCAACAAGAGCTTCGACAAATTGGGGCACACGTACCAGCTATCCAAGTCGTAATCGTTCTTGGTCTAGGTCTCGTTCCAGATCGTTTTCCAGAGACTCTCGATCTCATAGCTCGAGTGCTCGTCGTCATAAACGTCGCCACAGGAGAACACGTCGTGGGAGGAACTCTAGTCGTAGTTGGTCATCGTCAAGAAGTTCTAGTAGATCTATAAGACGGCGCTAACTGTAATATTCTCATATGAAAACGCCTTGTTCAGTCCTTTGTTTTAAATGTATTTATTCATGATATAAGTATGTGTTTTTAGTTCATTGTTACAACCCGTTTCGTATTAAAAAAAATACCACTTTAGTTGAATAATTATAAGTAAAAAGTCGATTCTTTCATCAGATGAGCTTAAATTATAAATATAAAATATTGGAATGATAATAATGATAAGTTGGTTCACAACTCATAAAGTTAACTGTTAAATAAATAAGCCAGAAGCTAGTCATCAGATTAACCAATTTCTGCGTTTAGATTGTGAAATTATTCTGCTTCAGTTTTTAGACGAGGTGGTAACGGAGGTGGTATTTGTCTTGTGGGCGTTTGTGGGGCGACACGTGTCGGAGAGATGGGTTCAAACTGAAAAGTGCAAACAGTTTACGTTAACAAAAACTGAGCGAGAGAGTAACAGAAATAAATTTAGACAGACAAAAGAACAATATTCCTAACTTAGTGAAATCCAACACTGAGAATCAAAGTATACAGTCCAGATACAATGGTTAAGTACTCAAATTCGGCAACTAGATTTCAACTTCGATAGATCTGGGGAGCTGAATATTATCACTAGCCCTCATATTAGCTTAAAGGGTCACGATGTCCGAAATGGACATCAAGGATATGACGTTAGATTTAACGATGGTCAGAACAGTTTCCAGGAAGTGGTACAACATTGTGTTTGGTTTTCTGTTATTTTCGTGCTGTTGAGTTTCTATAAACTCCAGGTAAATCATCCTCATTTGCATTTTAACAAACACTGATCTTTTCACAGTCGATAATAATTTTCTTTCATCACGTATTGTTTTATAAGATTACGGTGAAATAGGGCATATATATGAAGTGTACTCACAGTTCGTATGAACAGCTTCCTATAAGTGAAAATTTTGAGTCTTTCGCTTCACCTTAGATTTAAAATATCAAACAAGGAATGTAAGGAAATTGTTCATTGATAATTAGGCAGTATGAAGTTAAGGAACATCAATTGCATTCTCAGTTTATGCGTCAAAGTTTATACACAGTAATAACATAAACATGAGTATGGCTATTGAAATATAGTTCTTTACAGTGCTGTAGCAAATCGGTTCGCGTATCAGACCTGTGTAAGGTCGAAAGGCACTTGTTCACTGTGAGGACCAAGATCTGACTGGAACTTAGCAATTAAAAGTACTTTACCACGGTTCCACTACTTAGCAAATAGTATTCTGCTTATTTTATTTCAAAAAAGGATGATAAATGCGTTGGTTAATCATTTAGACCTATCATCTTCACGCCTCTGACAGAACAATGTCTACTTATTTTTTCCATATTCCCTAGTTTCAGAGTTTATGAATATATTTCACTTACATTTATAAGTGCGGCATCCTTGTCATGGTTCGTGGTTGTAGATGAACCGCTTTGTGAAGAATATACAAGAGTAAAAGGATCATCAATTGATCTGTTTGAAAAATTTAGAACAGGAAATTCGAATAAGATTAGTGAAAAGTAAAAATAGGAATCTTACATGTAGTGATTTGAATTTGAAGACCATTTTATTTTAAAGTACAGTCGGGCACCAAAAAATCGACACTTCAGTGAAGTGATGAAGAAATGAATACTGCTAGAATCAATGCACAAATGATCGAAAATGGTACTTAGTATGTGACACACTTCAGTCAGAAATACGAGGGAAGATTTACAGGAAGGGTTTATCTTTATGCAAAGTGTAGTAGGAAATTATAGCTGGATGTTTATTGAATTCTATACTGTCGCATTTGATAACGTCTCTAACCAGTAGGTCTCACCATCACCTAAAACCAAAATCGGAAAGTCCTAGTCGGTCGACAGATTCCAATCTTGAAGTCACAAAATGACTACCATTATGTTTTCGCTACTCGATCCCAGAATCAGCAAACAATGTGTGATTTGGGACTCGTTACGATAACACGAATACAATAATGAATAGTTATAAATTATTTTGAAGAATGTAATCTTGATTATCGTTGTGAACATTGTACAGTTAAATACTATGGTACATATTTACGTTTAAGTTTTTTTTCTTTCAAACGATGTGGAGTAAGCCATTCATTCAAGACCGTTCAACTACTGAATTACTTTAAAACTAGATAACGAAACAGTGGTCACTTGAAACAAGTAGTGTGTAATAAACGATCACAGACCAAAAAGATACCAGTTATAAAAACAGTGAACACTAGATCTAGATATGTTTCAGATCAAGTCAATGCACAATTCAAATCAACACAGTCAAAAAAACGGTAAAATGTGGAGGTAAATTAAGACCTTTGACAATATAAACTAGGGTAAATGTCAGTCCAATCGCAATCAACATGATTCAAGTCCTTCAGCAGTTCGAGTTTATCTACCAAATTTTAAAAAAATGAGAAAAAGTTTATTTTCCTAAAAACAAGATACTCCACACACACGTTGAATACTTAGCCTGTGGGTACTTATTCACTTTTTATTAAATCTAATATAAGAACTTTCGGGGCTGTGACTAGTGCTATGTCAAGGAAACAGGATTCAGTTTATTTCCCTTTTGTATTGTAATGTATTTCAAGAAACAAAACAAACTTGTATCTTGAGATTGTGTTCGGTACGAGCATACGGTGATTGTTAATGACAGGACAATTGGGATTCGTCTAATACGAAGGCAAACGAATGCGAACTCGAATAGACTGCATGCCTGTCACACGACAACACTTTGACGTTAGTTTAACATAAAGAAGACGGAGTTTTCAGTACAGCTTTATATTCCGGACGGAAGTCAGGAACTGAAATAGGACAAATATGTTTAAAGAGAAGTATGTAATGACCTTGGGATATGTCACACAGTTGGCAGTTATCCACAGAAGACAATGGAAGATGGTCACGCAATGCCGTGGATTGGTTGAGGTTAGATATTAACACCGTTGGATGCCGGCTCAATGATCCGGATGTTAGGCGTTCTCACCCGAGGCCAAAGGACCTGGGTTCGAATCTCGCGAGCGGGATCGCGGATGCACACTATTAAGGAGTCCCATGTTAGGATGAAACGGTCGTCTAGTACTTCCAGGTTTCCAACGGTGGTCTAACATTGATCGTTTCATGGTCTCAAGTAAAACAACAATCTCCACAACCCTATATTCATAACAGTAAAAGCCAATTAGACGATAGTCAGGGTCATTGCGGAAATTCGAATTGGAAAAATGTCGCCTGAGCTCTTAACCTAGCACAAGCGCTATTGCATAGGTCTATTTAGCGACACTTATAATCATAATGTATTTTATGAGAGTCGAGCAATAAGGAAATGTTTCATTTTAACCAATAAATTAAATTTTTTTTCAAGACTAAAAATCTTAAAAAATTTGTAATGAGAATAAAATGGAAGGGAGTTTCCCCTCTTATATAAGTCAACTTGAAATTATGAAGAAATCTGTCAACAAATTTAGACGAAACCCATCAATTAAGTGAAACTGCATAAACTAAACAACAAGTAATTTAATTTTCGAAAAGGCAATCGAACACAAAAACATTAGTTACCGCTATTTAGTTGATCAGGAATTTAAGAGACTGCAAAGATTGATAAGATTCGGTTTCCTATATCCCATAGAACAGTAATTGTGAGTTTTTGTTTGTTTACACCGTCGTCTAAGTAATAATCACCAAGTTTAGTATCTGGTTCAATTTAGTTTAGTTATTACAAAAATGTACTGTAACAAAGTCGGAAATAAGGAAAACAACTACTGACTACATTCAACCTATGTGTATACTAATCAACATATTTTCTTGATATGCATAAACATTTTATCTTCAAACACAAATTGTACTGAAATTCCGGACTGTGAAAAGAAAAACGCATAGAAACGCCGTAAATGAAGATGTTACATACGAATGACCTTCAAAGTACTTGTCCATTCTTAAAGAAAAAAACAAGAACTCACAGAAAGTTAACATCCTAGACCTTCTAGCGAGACTATGAATAAAAACATTTCTCGTCTCATGGTGAAATGTGTATCAGTTGAAACAAAACCTTAAATTCATCCATTTGAGTAATACAACTACTTGAACCCCCATTCTATATTCATAGAACTAGTCTTTATTTCGATTGTAAGATATACTTAAGCGATATATTATCCTTAGATAATTATTAATTGGCTAAAGTTACCAATGAATAACTATATAGACAGGATTCACCAATAATCTAGTACAATCATTTTCATAAAGGATTATCGTCATCAATGATAATAATCTAGTATAGTTATTTTCTCTGTGAAAGATCATCACTGTAAACGATAAAAATAATAAAAGAAAATATCGAATGATACAAATGAATAAATAAGCACTTCATTATTAATGGTAATTAACGCTTTAAATCAATAATCATTGGAGATGTATTCAGTATTGATGACGAACTATAAATATTTTTGATTTTCAAATTGCTCACATAAAGTAAACATGTGTGTCTAAGATTACACTCAATTACATATAAATATATATTCTGATTTCAAGTCTGAAATTGATGCAAAGTATAATGTTTGTTTAAGAATTCCTAATTCATTGAGTGTAATTATAATTTTTAGAAATCAGTGATATAATTCCAGTGACGAAATACTTAGAAGGTAAGTTTTAAAACATTTAAGCCTTAAATCTTTAATGTACTCCTCCTAATTAAGAACAATTAGTTTTAAGTATATTTCAGTTAACATCAGACAATCTAAGATAAAACGTACAACTAAAATCAATGTAAACTATCAACCATCTAATTATTGATAAGAACTATTATTTGCATCAAACCCAACTGTTGGTTTGAGCTATGCTGGCAGATCCAGACTCTACCTGATTGGAGTTCGTATTATAACCTCGATCAGTGGTTGGAAACTTTGGGTGATATGGCTCAGAATCGTTGACAATGGGACAAATGCATTTATTCCTCTCGATCTTAAATTACGATATTCCTCCATATATACTTTTCCATCCCCTCTTCGAACCATCTGCATAAAGGTTTAGTCTTTTTTTGTCATTTCTATCATATTATTTTAACGCTTCTCTTGGTTTCATCTCGTCGTGCCAATCTGGTATGGCAATTTAGGCTAACATAAATCTGTACTGGGCTCCATGCTGAAGATATCTATCTATTGCACTATATTACGTATATCTACGTAACCTTTGTCAATAATTGAATGTGACTTTTTCTAAAGACTTAATTATTTACTACTGAACAAATTATTCCTTTATGTTTATTCACAAGTTTCGTAGTGGTTGGTGCAATTTATTATAACAAAACTTATAGAATATTCTTTAATTTTGAATCCTATATCAAAAATTTCAAACTGTACAGTATCAATATTAACCGAGATTTCTCTTCAAAAGTTTAATCAGGAATCTTATATAACACAAAATATTTCAACTCATCAGTTATAAATTACCTAGTGACCACAAGTAATTACTTTATTAATGAACAATCGAAATAACGAATCAGTATTTTCAACTAGTTGTGAATCTGATTGATGAAATCAGCTGATTTTGATTGAAATCGTTTGGTTACTCTTGTATCTTCACAAAATATAATATTCAAAATACAATGAAATAGAACTATAAATAGCTGAATAACTTGACAGTACAATTGATTGATCATCTAGTAGTGACCAATGCCATATTTGTCTGGTCCTTATGTAGTGCTAGTCAAATTTTATTGATGAAGTCACAATGTGGTCACCTGTTTAAATGATTCAATACAATGTCCACTATGTCGAGAAGTTGGGTGGTTGGAGGTAGTCTATAGGAAACCTTAGACCTAGATTTGGTACTACCTGGCACACGTCAGTAAAGTGTACCTGTAATCTTGGGGCAAATGATGCCTCTTGGTGAGTTTGAACCCACGCCGCCTAGGTTAACAGTCTGAAACTACCACAAAGCTACTCAGTTCACTAATGGCCTCATAAAGTACTGGGACACTTATGATTGATCGGTCAGTGAGTAGTGACCGATGCAATATATGTCTAGTCTTTTAGCTCTGCATTATTATTATTATCATCAGTGTAGCCAACAGTCAATAAAAAAACATGTCATAGGTGGATGTGATGTATCATATATCAATTGTACGATTACATCTACTTAATTATGAATAACTTATACATTTCCCCTGTAAATAATAACGTCTCAATCACTATCGCTTATTTTGTTCATATATAAATTAAATTATTATCACTGTAAAGAGTATTTATATTTACTATTTTTAATCGTAAACTATATCCATTTCTTTACAAAATTAAAATTACAAAATATTTTATTGATAAAATTATTGAAAGATTTAGATCATGAAAAATTCAAAAAACAATTCACTTCTTTATAATCAACAATATTAATTTTTTGATTGGGATCACGAACCGACTGATGTTAGACCACGATCCCGCTAGCGGGATTCGAACCCAGGGCCTTTGGTCTTGCGCGCGAACGCTT